ATTTCTGTCTCAACTCTAACTGTAGCTCTGCCATAAATCAAACTTCTAACATGTTCGTTGATTTGAGGACAGACGAAAGCTACTACATTAGTGAACGCAGTCTGTTGACGTTGGGAAATTTGTCGAATATCTTGAAAAATTTGTCATTTTCTATTCTGTAAGGAAGGAAAGCGCTAATATCATTTTTCTAATCAGAGATAAAAGGAAAGTATACGTGTTGTGTACAAAGTGGAATAGCGTTATTTGTGTTGAGACGTTTGGTTTATTAAAGAAGGGCATTCAGTTCGCAAAAATGAAAATATCCTTTTGTCGTAGACAACACATTTTTATTCTTAGATGAACTCCCACTATTACAATGATAAAACGGACTCCACTGTGTCTTGTCTCAGTGTGCCTCGCATTTGTAATTAGTCATATGGAAACGTGCATTTCGTGCATAGGACGATTATCTTAGTTACATATGTTGAAACGCTTCGTTGAATTTCTCATTTTTGTTAAAAAGTCGTATTCTCTTTCCTTCTTTTCTTCAATTTCTCGAAAATAATTATTGAGTTGGTAAGATACTATAAGATAAATAGCATTTGTGTTGTGCTATGTCATCTCCTGTTGGTGCTGTCGCAGATCCAGTTCATCTGAGTGCTACCAAGTTAATTAATGAACATGTTAATCTCATCGTTCAGGGCGACGTTGTTCGCTGGCGTTCATCTATTTTTGCAGCCAATGGCGTCTGGGAACTTCCTTATGGCGCATCCTGGGTATGCCAACCAAACTAATCGGCTTGGATGCAATGTCGAAGCCGCAGAACTGTTCATAAATGGCTGTGAAGGCATGCAATTTACTAGGCCAAAAGTAACTGTTGTTAGTCCTTCCGAAGCGTTTGCTGAATATGAGGTCACAGTGCAAAGTTCTTACCACACAAAAGACTTATCATCAGAATTACATCGTGTATGCAAAAGCAGAACAGGGTACGAGAATACTCTACAAGAATACTTTGATCCTGTTCGCATTATGGAGGCATTCCAGTACACGCGAACAATGCCCAGTCCAATTAATTGACGGACATTCTATCGTTTATCCCACAATCTCTTTTTCGCCATAATGGTGATGTGAGAGATACACATGTTCCGCTATGTCCAATGCTCAGTGTTACTTACTCGTATTTTTATCATCTCAAGCTAACTGTAAGTTTACAAACTAACGTTGTTTTTCTCTTCTTGTCTTTTCGTTTTTATTCACTTGTACCATCCATGCAACATATAATGGATTTTTACCCGGATTGTTGCTGTGATGAAACCAAATAAACTTGTTTAAACTAAATTTAATTAGAGTCATAAAGAACGATACTAGTAATACTAAACGAAAAGAACAATTGATTCCGTCAACAGAACAGCAGGTATCGTGACTCACAGATGTGGAGCACATGTACTAAATAAAATTTAACGCCTCCATCTCAGAAATAAGAAAGTTTTGTAAAATGCTTATTTTTTATTCAAATAAAGTGAAAATATTTTTACATAGGCAAAAACTGATGATGAATCTAATGGGTATACTTTTGAGATCTCTAGAGAGTCTTCGGGGGGTCTCTGGAAAACTTTTCTCCAAAAACCATAGTTTTTTGTTCTAATCTGGATTTAAATGCAGAAACTGATTAATTTTCATTCTTGGCTATATAATATAAACGCATATATGCAGAATAAAAGTGTTCAAATAGGAAAGATATTTCTATTAGTCTTCGTCTATGTTAGTATTTGTTATTTTGCGATGAGATTGAATTGTTGTTTTGGAGAGTTGACTGAAAAACAGCTTTAATACATCAGCATATGTTTGACCTTGAGAATATGCTACGATTGCGCGCCAGAAACGTCGAAATAATTTCAATGCAATTTTTCGTTCAGCAAAGTTTATACGTGATTCCGATATTAATTTTATCATTTTATCGAAGCTTTGATCTGTACGTGAGCGAACAAATGCCTTTTGATTGGACCAAAGACCTTCGATTGCATTCAGTTCGCAATGATACTTAGGACAGTACATAATCTTAATTTTATATTTAATTCCTAGCATCTCAAGTTTTGTAGCATTTTGGAAAGCTCGATGCGTTGAAAGTATATCACGAATGTCGTCTAATTTAAGTTTAGCTGGTAATTGTACACCCAAATCTTCACATAGTTCAACTAAACCTTTTGATTTACCTTTGTTTTCTTCCCCTTTAAAATAACAATCAATAACTTTTTGTACGCCATTTCCATCAACATATTCGATTTGTTCAATACAACAACGAGTACCAATATTTTTACCAAATTCTTGTAATGAGTATGACTTCGCAGTGTGAGGTTGTCGACAACGATTTCTATCTGATTATGCTTGTATTCTTGTTTGAATTCTAGCATTTGAAATAGCCTTCAAACTGTCCCTGGACCGTATCATTATCAAAATAAGCGTCTGTTCCCATATTAATACTAGCTGTTGCTGTTCGATCGATATAACTGACATCACTATCGACACTTAATGTTATATATTTTGCAGTAGCTTCTTTCCATTCATTTTCACTAAGTTCAAAAAATGGCCCACTAGGATGTTGAACAAGAAAATCAGAAATCATATGACTGCGACCACGATCTTTTGAAAAAAACAGTGTATTTTCTTCAAAAAACCAACGTTTTGGACTAACTTCACCACTTTTGAAGGTTGATTCATCATGAAATATAAGTATTTTATGCGGATTTTGGATCGGAATTTTCCACATAGGTATTTCACCATCTGTAATTGTGTAGTAATAATCTTTGTGCGCTAAAAAATAATCAATAAATTCATTACGATGTTTCACTACATCGTCACTTTCATGTCCTTCAAAATACGGGCGTTGTGAATTCGCTTCAAATTTAGCTCCCCATCTGCGAAGATCAAGACGACAACTTCTTTCCGATCTTATGAAATCATCGCCAATTTGTTTTTTAATTCCTGTTAATTCATAATATTTTTCATCAATAAACTGAGCCAAATCCAAAGCCTTGAATTCGCCTGACTTTTGTGAACACGCTTGAACGACAAATGCTTTTGCATCTGCTTCAATCTCGGGAAAGGTATCATAAAACGAATCAGTTTGTTTACCACCACGTAAATCATTTGAAAACTCTTCATAATCTCCTTTGCTAAACACTTTTGCCC